GGCGGGGCGCGCGCGGGCTTTCCCTGCCGCTGCGGGAGCTCCCCTGAGCCTGGCGACGGCTCCTCGGGGAACGCCTCCTCCTCGCTCCCGCACGGCTCCGCCGGGCCCTCGTTTGACGGACTTTCCACCCAAGGAGCTAGCGCGCCCCAACCGCAAGGGAGAGGGGACCGGAGCAAAGTGTGCAGGGCCGTCACCCGGCCTCGGGCTCTCCCCCAGCACTGCAGGGGACCTCAGTGCTGGCTCACGAGGAGTCGGGCCTGATGGGCCTAGTGGCTCCAGCACCACTGGCAGGTTTGGGCAGCAGAGGCCGTGGCTCCAAACCCGCCAGGCTGCGGGTGTTATGTGCACAGCGTGGCTGAGGGGGGCCGGGAGCCTGTGGGGTGGGGGCCGACCTTCGGCTCCAAGCAGGGCCTCTCGGAGCAGGGCTGCGCGGGCCATGGCCCATCAGGGTGGGAGGATCTCCAGGTATCTCCGAGGATGGAGGTCCCACAGCCTCCATGAGCACCTGCTTCCCTGCTCGGCCACCCTCCGGGGAACAATTGTTTCCTAACGTTTAACGGGAATTTCCCGTCTCCCCGTTTGTCCCTGCTGCCTCTCGCCCCATCACCGGGCGTTTCTGAGCAGAGCGTCGCTCCGTCCCCTCTGCACCCTCTGCTTGGGAGCTGCTGGCAGCAGCGCGCTTCCCCCGGCCTTCTCCAGGCTGGCCAAAGCTGGCCCTCGCGGCCTCTCCTCGTGTTTACTGTGCTCCGGGCACCAGCCCTTTGCAGCGGTGGCTCTTTGCTGGACTCGGCCCAGCGTTTCCGTGTCTGTCTCGTAGTGGGAGCTGAGAGGGGACCAGCGGGCGGGGGTGGTCTCACGAGGGCCAAGCAGAGGGGAAGAGTCGCTGCCGTCGCCCTGCCGCGAGCGCAGCCTGGGCCGCCGCATTAGCGGGGAGCGGAGGGGTTTCTCTCCCGGCGGGGGAGGCGTTTTCCCCGGGCTGGTGCGGACGGCTGAGGCCAGCAGAGCTGACGCTCGTCCTCTGGTCTCGCCTTTCAGGTCTCTTCACTTGCGGAGGTTGCTGGTCCCGACCTCGCGTGGCCGAGGATGGAGGCAGGGCGGCAGAGTCCGTCCCTGCAGCCGTCCCCACCTCTGCTGACCTCGTGACTTCTCTGTGCAACCGCCTGCAAGACGAGGAGGC